GCGAGACCTCATCTCTACAATAAATGAAAAATTAGCCGGGCGTGGTAGCGCGCGCCTGTAATTCTGGCTACTCGGAAGGCTGAAGCGGAAGGAAGGATCGCCGGAACCCAGTAGGTCGAGACTGCGGTGGCCGGGAGCGGCCACTGCGCTCCAGTCTGGGCGACAGAGTGAGACTCCAACTCAAAAAAAAGAAAATCTAAAGAGCAGTTAGATGTCCAGGTCCCCACTGTTTCTCCATATGTATATAACTGTGATATGTGAGGTTAGTTAAAAGTTCCAGGAAAAACAGTTAACATACTAAGAATTGTTATCTGAATAGCAGCAGACTTTTTTTTTTTTAGTCAGGGTCTCACTCTGTCACTCAGGTTGGAGTACAGTGGCACCATCACAACTCACTATAGCCTCCACCTGCTGGGCTCAGGTTATCCTTCTGTCTTAGCTTCTCAAGTAGCTGGGGCTACAGGTGTGTGCCACCACCTCCAGTTTTTTTTTTTTTTTTTTAAATAGAGATGAGGTCTCCCTATGTTGTCCAGGCTGGTCTTAAATTCGTGGACTCAAGCAATCCTCTCACCTTGGCCTCCCAAAGTGCTGGGATTACTGGTGTGAGCCACCACACCTAGCACATCGGGCTTTTTTTTTAAAAGCAGGATTTATTGAGAGGACAGAAAAGCTCCCGCAGAGGGAGGGGACCTGAGGGGGTTGCCCGCATCAGGCTTCTTAAAAAGCAACATTCCTTAGCTGCCGGAAGAGAATAGAGTAAGGTCTTCAGAATTTTAAAGAAAAGTGGTTCCCATCCTGACAGCCAAACTGTCAATCCAGTGTGAGGCAGGACAAGATATTTCTAGACACGGAGTCTCAAAAGACCCTCTTCCTAGGTGCCCTTTCTCAAGAAGCCTGGAGGATGTGGCTCACCCAAAGAGGAGAGTAAGCCAAAACTCAGGAAGACATGGGATGCAGAAAGCAGGAGAGAGATGAACAGTGGGCCAAGGGGGGGTGAAGAGGAGTCCCAGGAAGGCACTGTCCTGAGCGGGGCCAAGATGGAAGGCTTCGGAGGAAGCTACCTGGGAAAGCTGGAATTGTAGGCTGTGTACCCATCTAGCAAATGTGGACCATTGTCTTCAGAGGCCTTTGGAGTGGGATGATGTAGCCATAGATACAGAGAAAACTAAGCAATAAAAACACAAAGCTATTCTAATACTCAGGAGAAAAGGAATGTTCTGCAGGAAGAAAATCAGAATCAGAATTTACTACATAGCTCTGCGGTTTAAAATATTTATATAGCTGGGCTCGGTGGCTCAGCCTGTAATCCCGCGCCTTGGGAGGCTGAGGTGAGTGG